TATTATTTTCATGGCTCCAAACTCAACTACTCCGATTTGTTTAACAAATTCAAAGGCTTTGCAGGATTTGACGCAAAATTCGTTCATCAATCAAAATTATAAACTCATAATATTTCTGAGACAATTGTGCTTCAAACACTCATAAAACAAACTCAACAAAAGCTGAAGAAATATTTGAATAGCCTAATCTACAATAGGAAATACTCGATGAAATGATATGGTAATCAATGATAATTTCGTAAACCGCATGATACGCTATACCTATAGAGGCGCGCCAACTCCAAATCGGTGACCCAAAAGGACATAAGTGGGGTACGACGTATGCATCCTTAAGCAGTTAACGGGTTGTCTCTGTATGTATATGAATGAGGCGAAGATCACCATGATGACAGATAGAGCACGTTGTTGTGGTGTTGTCGTATTGAAGAGACAGAGGTGAAGAGGAGGTAGAAGTGGCGTGGAATGGTTGGAAGTGAGGGTGGAATTGTTTAAAATAGGGTTGTTGGAATTGGGGTTTATTGGAGGGTGGGGCGGAATTGTTGGAGGTAGAGTTATTGGAGGTCGGATGGTGTTGTTGGAAGTTAGACTGGAGTTGTTGGAAGTGGGATTGTTGAAATTCGTTGAAAGTCGGGTGGTGTTGTTGAAAGTTAGTGTGGAGTTGATGAAAGTTGAGTTGTTGGAGGTTGGTATGGAATTGTTTGAGTGAGTTCTGAGGGAGTTGATGGATGTGGAGGTGGAGTTTTTGGAAATTGGGATGGAGTTCTTGGAAGTAGGGTTGTCAGCAATGAAGTTCTTGGAGGAGGTGTTGTTGCAGGTTGTGGTGCAGTTTTTGGAAGTGGAGTTGAAGAAGTAAGGGTTTTTTGGAGGTTGGGAGGATTTTTTGGAGATTGAGTTGTGGAGTTGGCGGTCAGGGTGTGCTGAAAATACGTCTTCCCTCCAAAATGGTTCAAACATTCAGAAAAATCATGTAGTTAGAATACATTGGTAACAGTCGTATTTTTATAAATAAAAACAACGTAAATAAAGCTAACTTATAAAGATACATGAATAAAATTTTCGTTTTGAGAATCAGTCACATAGCGTGGCACGACGAAAATCACAGTTTTCAACAAAGGTCAAACGTGTCGTATCGACCCTCGCTCATGTATTGACGCCCTGAGCTCGTGTCGAAAATAATCACTTTATTTAGACCATTATCTCACTACAGCACCAACTAAAGAGACCACAGACACTTCTTAAATTATAAGGTACAGTACATCATCATTCATCACACAAATTGACCATTTACAAACACGATAGTTCTAACAGTCTGCTGATGCTGTTCAAAATCTTTAAACGCTTCTTTGAATTTCCGAAGAGGTAGATGAACCAGGTCCGTGCCGCTTCACTGCGGCTGCGCGTTATCCACGCATGCGCTCGTCGCCAACCTACCGTAGCGCCAGATAAGAGACTGCGCTCTACTCGGCGGCCTGTCGAGACCAATATCGCCGATCATTGATGTAAAGCAACATTTGATTTCGTATAGATTTTTTCCAGCACGTACAGATTTCAGTTTTTCCCCAAGAACTATTCTTTTTCTGTTTTCCGAGACGGTTGGATCTACACCTGGGGTTTAGACCACGAGTCAAGCCATTATCACACAGGTGAAAGACAATATGGTGATCGGTAAGATTTGAACTCGCGCCGTCGGGACAGAAATGAAATGGCACGTTCTGCTGTCATCCGGTGTACTACTAGACGAGCCCAGCACAACTAATGGTTGAGTAGCTCTGCCTGGATCAATTAAATAAATCTTATGTTACGTGTACGGCTACTAACCCAGTTATTCTGCAACTCAAACCATGTCCATGAGTGTATGACGGACTGACTCAAATTTATAGTGATTAAGTCATTTAAGCCAGAAATTCGCATATCAAACAAAACTATTAAGACCTGAGAGACACAACTCATAATTCAAATTTGGAGGGATTATGTCATTAGAGCTGGTGGAATATTGCCATCAGCTAAAACAACCAAGATTTGGAAGACAGGGAACACCTTGATTTTTCAAGCTAATGACCATTTGCAATAATACATCTCAAAGTTTACAAGGATTTGGAAATTAAGCCGGAAGACATCTCTTATCAGCGAAAGCAACCAAGAACTGAGAGTTATAAAAAACTAACCCTCGAATTTGCATGGGTTGGGTAATTCAAACTAGGTAAAATCTCTCATCAACTAAGACCAAGACCTAGAAGACAGACATAACCCTAGACTTTATTGAGTTATAACCTACAAGCTAGGGGAAATCTCCGATCATCTGAAGAGTTTAAGACCTGAGAGAATGAAAAATGACTCAACAATTTATAGGGATTAGAACATTCAACAGGTTCAACCCGCTTATCAATAAGTGACCAAGACTGGATCGCAATTTGCTAATTCGATTTGGCACGACTTGCCACCCGTGAGTTTGGAGTTTTGCCCAGAAAAACTAATCAGCAACGCGACTCTTCAGATTTACTGAGCACTTGCTGTCTCTCGACGTGTCGTTTTCTATAAATTCTTCATTTTAAATAGTGAAAACAGAATTTAAATGGTTTTATAAGCTTGAACAATGTTTGGAATGATTAGAAACCATGTACATTAACTACTGATTTGCCAACCAATGTAGTTTCTTTAGCGATCTTAAACTACTCTTCAACACATTATTTGTCAAATTCTATATTGTTGATGGTGTATTTACATTAGCTAACAGATTATTGTAGACTCCTTTTGATTTTTTGCGTCTTTTTACTTGTGTACTTACTATCCCTACTAATTGTGTATGTGTACTTCTACTATATTGTTTCCATCTTATAGTTTTATTTAAAGATTGTTGTATTTATTTTTGACTAGTGTACCGTTCTATGAGTGGTTTTTATGAATTATCATCGTCGGCTAGGTTTGTGTACAATTCTTGTAATATTTTCATAACATTCTCACCTGATGACGGTAACAGATTCCAGATTCCGAAACGTCGTGAATACTTCGTTTTTCGTGATGATAAGTTCACCAATAATCTGTAATATGTTTTTCAAATACAATTACAAATTTCCAACAATCAATTCATCAATTACTCAAGAATAGCCCACTCTTTGGTGAGTTGTGGCGATTTGGTTAACGTCATTCGCTCAGTCAAACTGTGAGATCTCTACGTGAGGTCGAAGAACACAACAAGAAGTAGAGTTTGTATGATCGCGGTGTCAGTTTCACTTGTATTGCACGTCTCTCAGCTACATTGGACCGGATGTGATCTGGAAGCACAGGTTCTGTAGCGAGGAATGTGCTTCGTGCTGTTCTATTACTACGATTGCAATAATAATGTCTGAAGTGCAATTAGTATGAACATGATCTGTTGATATTTGTTGCATTATGTGATTGGAGTGTTTATATATATAAAAATATATTTAATGGTAATTTTGCTTAAAATAATGAGGAAACAGCTGATAAAGATGCTTTCGAATACAATGTAAAGGTAAGTAACAGACACAAACCAAATGTAAATACTTGTATTTTGGAGATCGGGAAAAATTTTGATTTTTAAGTACAACTTAACTATTGCACTACACAAAAATAATAAACTTAGCACTTTTTACTTAACTTACGTGAACTTACTATTTACTTTAACTTATGTGAAAATATTTTTAAATTGAACCTTGTTCAGTATACATCACCCTGTGATATATTACAATATGTATAAAGGTCGTTAGTTTCAGTACAGTGTACGGTAAACGTCGTGTCGGCCAGTCATCAAATGCAGCCAAATGTCAGCTTGCAGCTAGCGATGCTGACCTTTACACCAACTCTCCTCCGTGTCAACTATATACTATTAACAAGGTTCACGGCGGACAAACTTTAATCTGTAAAAATACGCAGGCTTAAAATTATATATCCGCAAGCATAATGTTTACGTTCGAAGTTGTTCACTGATAACTGTATAAACCTGGCCTACCTATCTGAAAGGCTGGAAGGTAGGTATCTAAAGTCTGTATGATGGAACATGTCTCTTGACCCTTCGTCTACCTGAGACTAGACGGACTCTTCCGAAACATTGAACATCATTTCGCAAGTTCAACGACGTGGACATCTCATAAAGATTCGACTGCACATGATACATTTCAAAAGGAATTGAGTTTCATTTTGAGACGTTTAAAAGTACACGTACTTCTAAAGGTCAATGAAGGTGGGGAGAGAGATGGTCTAGTAGTTAGAGCGCGGGACATCGGTCACTGAGGTCCCGGGTTCAAATCTCGCCAAATCACCTATGGATTTTATCTAAGTGATAATGCAGAAACCCCTAGGTCTAGCCAGAAGTAATGTGAAAACAATCCCGAGCTTGTGCCTAGGGTTTTTTTAATACTCTTGTCTTTTCCTACCTCCCAGACTAAGTTAAGAACACCGTCAGGCAAGAGGTTAGGAAATTCATGAATAACAATCATGTTGATTTCTGTCAGTGTGAGTACTGTATTTGTAGTTTTCAGTGAATTTCCCATAATAGGGAATACGCTATTTCTATTACCATAGGTCTCATGGTAATTCCTAGGCCCGGGGTTGATTTATTTCTACGTTTCCATGTCCCAGAGGCCTACAACACCATCCGTTTAAATTCATATGTGTGTGTCTGATAGCCCGATATAAATCGAGTAAACATTATTCGATTTTAATTAACAATCACAAATGTTTAGTGTATGTATAACTACGTTTATTCAAACGAGTTAGCGAACCAGCATGATCGTACCATGAAAACCACAGGGTTCTCATTTTTGGCTCTCAAACAATAAAATTTTTCAAATTAATTTCCTAACCATGCTGCAGAACTTGAAATACCCCAACTACAGCAAACCTGCAGACTAAGCGAATTTCAATTTGTCCTGGATTTAATCCTAAATTAAAATCCGTAAACTCGACTGACTTGCTCCCGTTGGCCGGGGAGGGGGTAGAGTAGCGTAGACCCGGTGTGTGCGTCTGTCAGCAGTGTACAATGGGTCGCGGTGCAGTGCAGTACCTAGTGCTGAAGATTATATGAGTGGATTAACACGTGAATCAACATGAGGACGTTAACACTACTTCTGTCTTGGATATCTGTAGCATCAGCTGGTAAAGCAATTTAATTCCTTACTAGTCAATCCCTATTTTTTCAAAAATTTCAATTGTGGAACAAATACTTTTTGGTACATAATCCCAAAATATATAAAAAAACAGTGTTAAAAATATTATCTAGTTTCTATGTTTATCGTCAATTGAAAATAGGAATTTGTAGAAGAAGTTGAAAAATATACAAATTTTCGTGTAGTAAACAAAAAGTTTCAAAGCACAAAAATAAAGGACTTCATGAATTAAATGGATTTTAAAACGTGTACATTTAAGCAAGAAAAGCATTGAAAATATTATTAAGAGTCTAAAAACCAACAAAAATGTTATAAAATCATAGCATCAACTTTTAGAACGTTGCAAATAATAAGTTTTGAATTAAAATTCCTTATTAATCGATAAAAATTATGTAAATACAGTTTTCGAATATTAAATGACTAACTACATTTAAATAAATAACTTTTATAATAAATAAAAGAAAAAATAATAGTTCAACACCTATAAAAATTGTTCAGCCTTATGAAGTTACAGTTAATACAGTGATATTAAATCAATACGATTAATTGAGTACGGATTGCAACGAGTATTCAATGAATGTAACATTTTGACCAAACTCGAGTTAAAACACATTTCTTGAACTTGACTGTTAAAGAGTGCCTTATGTTCGTAAAAAGATTATAAAGTGCCTAAGGATAAAATTTAAATAATTTAGTAGCAAACATTTACAGTAAAATAAAATCGTAGGGTATTTATTAAATATGAAGGCAGAACCTTTAAAATCGTTGAATACATTTTGAAAACGATTTTCTGACGAGGAAGAGAAAAAATAAAAATTGTTGTAAGATTTGAGAAGCTACATCCCGCAAAAACTTGTTTGTTTTTACACTCACTTCTCGTAGTAAAGATAACACCTCAATAATATGTTACAAAATGTCTAAAATCTAACACGAACTGAGCAATCTATTATCAAACGGAATTGCATAAAAATTACATGAACATTATACTGATAACAAATATTGACCGGGGTTTCTCAGAGTAAATATATTGATAGTATAACTAATTATTTGGATTTTACTTGATGTGTTAGTGTAAAACACCTACTGTATTTGATATACAGGTACATAGAAACTAAATTTGATACATAATTATTAATGTTTCATAAATATGTTAATTTTTCATAAATTTAAGTAAAAACATCTACTTTTTTTAATTTTGTTATATTAGAGTGCATAGGTAAATTTGGCGAAAGAAAGGTTTTTTAGGCTAGTTAAAATAATTTAGTACTTTGCCAAGTAACCAACAAATTAAATGTGGTTCTTTAAATATCTTGTAAAACAATTACACACTCACCATTGATTATACAGACAAAACTCAATTGTACAGCGTATTTTATTTTAATACATAGGCCTATATCTTTGGTTTATGTATTTGAAATCTACGAATTAACAATATCAAAAATATTAAATTTATCGAAATGAAAACATAGGACATGTATTATATCAAATCAAAAGGTTTAACCCAATATAGAAGAAACAATTATAAATCAAACTACACACTGACGCTTATTCAATGTTTGAACTGTAATTTAATACAACCCTTTAGTTATAGTATTTGTCCCTAGGAGAGGGTTTATTGGAAAAACTAATATTTTTCTGGGAACTTGTACATAAAGATATTTCATTAAACTTTGTGGTACAAATCCACACAATTTCCCCAAAATTCTAGAGATACAAATTAAACAAACTTCCAACACTATCTTTTTACCACATCGCACCTTATATTTTCCACCCCGGACGTCTGAAAGTTTTAACTCTCCAGGTGACCATTCCAGCTTCCTCACACTAAATCGCACATGATTGATACATCCTCCACGGGACCAGTTTCGCAGATTTACACCTCTGCAGACCAATGTTTCACGACGAGAGTGTAAGTGTCAGACCTCTTGTTGCTAGACAGGTGCCGAAATACGACTTCCTTTATAAACACTACACACTACACACGAGTGGGTTATTAAAAGCGGTGTAGGATTCCTTTGTCAAGTGAGGTAGGGTTAAATTCCTCAATTAAAAGTTATATAGTGTTTTCTCGCGTGGTGATAGAGAAATGGTTTATCGGATTTTTAGAGAATTATTTTAGTTAAGTTTTTAAAGAACTGTTATATTTGGTTTATGCATTTTTTATTTAGTATCCAGATTATGGTATTTGGAAAGTGGTTTATTAAGTTTTTACAGAATAATGATGAACCATAGTCCATTTTGATGATGCAATTTTGTTAAGTCTCCAAGCAATAAATTATTCAAAATAATGAATTTAACTGTATACGGTAGAAAAGACAAGAAAATAAAAATAACTAATTCATTACATAGAATCATGGACAAAAGGAGTGGACGTGTCTACTCTTTAATATCTCGTTCGGTGGGGTTTATTTTGAAATTTACTCATTTTTTAGTGAATACTGTATGAGCCTTTACAGCTCGAAAAATGTACTGTACAGCAAACCTAAATGAAATACTCTAATACCGACACGCCTGGAAAATACGTAGGCTAATCGTAAATGGTCATCAAAAACGTATCACACCTAAATCATGATCACCTATCAAAAATTCCCGTGAAAGGATTTTCTCCAACAGAAATCCTTTTTACAATTTTCCACGATCCGTAGACATTTTCAACCCGTCCCAACACCTATCGTTGGGAGTGTGGACAACTCTTCAGACGAAAACAATTTTGCGGTCGTGTTGGCCCTCAACCGACAATTTGGGAGATAACATCAACCTACATCGCCGCTAGACTCCGTTCAAATACCGGAGAAGGGCAATGTCCCGTCGTAGATTCCGAACCACCGAGTCACCAATATAATAGCGGTTGTTACTGGTGAATTATTGGACTATATGACCCAAAAAAGCATCACCTGGAGTCTATCTGGACAATAGCTATACATATTCTAACTTGTAGACTTTATTTTTCCGAACTTCCTTTAACTAAATACACAAAAGTATCGAATTGATTTTTTTTCATCACCTTTATTCATCTCGTTACATTGAATATTGTATAAGAACAAAAACTTATAGAAAAGTCAGACAAAATTAAACGTTTACAAATTTTAAGCAATTTAAATTCCCATCGAGGTAGTAAAACTTGTTTCATCGTACTTTCTTGACATCTTAACAGCGGTTTGTTAAAATTTAAAGCAAGAAATGCTATTGGGAACTGACTTATAAAGTAAAACAACTTAAAACGACTATATTTTGGGAATAGGCTAGCCTCACAAAATGGGCACATTACGAAAAATATAGTTCATCTCATCAAATGTATTTTAAATCTTTTCTTATTTTCCATTTCTTCACTACGATCGTTACAATTGCACTTCTGTTTAATGGAGTCACTTTGACCCAAAGTGATGAAGTACGGTGTTTACATGATTGAGTTCCCTCACCAAAATATCATTTTGTCATTTAATTTATTAAAAGATCATTTATAGTTGGCTACAGCAAACAGACTAAAAAAATTAAGTACTTGAAGATTTTTAGAATTTTGTATCAAAATTAATTTTTTACACCAATATCATGGATTGAACCCGTCGGCGTGTGTTTGATCAGGATTCTTCCATTCACAACTTCACCGCGTCGTGTGTTTTGTTATCTTCCATCTTTTACAACCGTGAGGCAAGCCGCATTATTCAGGCCACTGATAACGCTGCAAGATATTTCGGTGCCTTCTAAATCTTGAGGTTCCAGATGACACGTTGTTAAAGCGAAATGCTATCGCGATTGCGAATAGAAGATCTACGTTGACTTTGCTTTTGAAGTGGAAATGCATATTTTTAGAGCAATACAAATTCACCAAGAACTAGTACATTTCAGTAAATATTAGTTCTTTATTTATTCCAAACCTTAATTCTATATTGAAAAATATATTTAGTACAACAATTTAACTTGCACGTTTTCCCTGACATTATTAACGTTATGACAAAATGAACTTAACGTTTGCTACAGGTTGACTTCCGAAGAAGTATAAAGAATGAAACGATAAAAAAAAAATAACATTAGCTGCAAATATTGTTTCTGTTAAATACCAAGGGCGTTCGCACTAAAAATAAGTTTTAACATAGGTAAGCGTGAATTTCAACTCATAAATTATTATGTAAATAAATTAAAGTGATATAATCATTGTTAAAAAGTTTGTGAAAATGTAGGTTTAAATATTACCTAAAATCAACTGAAAGGGTTGTGCTTACCATAAAACTCTCAAGTTGATGGCACTGACCTGAAAACAAAAACGTTATTAATTTAAATAAATGAAAATATTGAAAATTTTAATTATGTATATGGATGAACTAACAAGCTATCTTCAAAGCTACATTTTGAAACATGTTTTAAAATTACATTAAAATAATATTGTTTACCTGTTTTCAAATTCAGTTCTTAATTAATTATTTTCTTTTTTCGAAAATATTTTGTTGAAGTTTTCTAATATTTTTCTAACCTAATTTTTTATAAAACATGAAGTACAACTTGAGTAACAGCATTGACGGGCATGATTTAGCCCAAAAATAAATAAATATCAATATGACCACAATAATAATGGTATTTTTTTAGTGCCAAATTTGTGATCTACCTTTTTGTAGGTACTGTACGGTATTTTAGCCCAGTCGTTAGGCAATGCATTTTTGAAATAATAGGAATTCGATCAGCGTAAAATTTTTAAAAGCGATTTACTATCTTACACGGACATGCTTTTCACATCAATGGAATATTTTCTGTGGAGACATCTAAAACCACTCAACACCGATAAACCCCATACATTGAATAACATAAATGTTAACATGTATCGTATGATTTTAAAATACTTCCCCAAATTCAAAATAAAGTATTCCAAAGTCAATTTTTGAAATTGAATTTTAGCCACGAAAGACACCTATATGCCAAGGTTATTCCTAAACAAAGATAGCATAAAATTGGTTATCCCATATGGTGAATATCACGGGTTTTAACCTAATTTTTTAA